GTGGGGAGTCCCCGGCAGCGAAGCGCTCCGGGCGGCCTGTGCGCCGGGCCTCCCCGCGTAGGGCGTTTTTCATCAGTAACTTCTGCTGTCGTTAACGGGTGGTGCTGTTCAGTAGACTCTTTGCGCTGCTTAAGTGGTTTCTGTATGACAGCCCCGTTGAACTTTGCTGACCAGGCTTCTGCGGTCGACCCTGTGTTTGGTGGGTTTCCCAAACCGTGCTGAGGGGTGGTGGGTATTCGGGGTCCGTTTGTGATGTTCCTGAGGGGCGTTCTAGGAGCTGAGTATCAAGCATCGTCCAGTATGTTGTCTTGTAGGTAAGGCTTCTTGCATAACAGGACATGTAGACATGCAAATTAAATGAATCTACGTTTTGCCTCATTTTTAGGCAAAACATCTTCGATTTATGTAAGGAGGGTTTGGCTTCGTTAAAGGCTATAGTCAGATTCAATAAAATGCTTCAGAGCCTGTTTAGATCTTTCGCTATTCAAGATGGCATTCAAGCTTACGCTTACGGAAACCCAGCATTTCAAAGGACGTTAAGAGCTTAAGACTTGTCTTGAATAATGTTACTTCTAGATGTAGTTAATTTTGTAATTGTGTTTGGCCATCTCTGTCTCTCTGGGCAGATCCTGTAGTGCTTACTCCAGCTGACAGTAATGGAAGTTTTGGCATTTTGAGACAACAAAGAAAACAAATAATAATAGAGAAACAGACAATGAGGCAGAATTTAATACATACACAAAATCTGTTCTCTTCCATACTATCTGAATTGCTTTGTTTGGCTTTATATAAAATTAACATGTTGGTCATCACACAAAATTATGTCTTTTTACCAAATACTGCTTCGCAGCTGTTTCTATGGTATTGATTGATACATCAGCTAATGAGTTTTTGAAATTTTCATTTAGAAACTAGAACAAAGGTGGAAAAGAAAACCTGGAGTTATTCTCAGTAATGTGCTACATATGAAGTCCAGTGAAGCACAGAACATACAAGATATGTTGTTGATAACTGCTGCTGGATTTGGGTCCCTTATATCAGTGTCTATGAACCTCTTACTCTCAGAATCTTCCCGAGATGTCATCAAGAAAAACCTCTGAGCATTAATTTGTATAGCTGATAGTAGAATCATCATTAAGTCCAGGAATGAAAATTTGATAAAAGCAAGACAAAAGAACACATGCTTAGCAAAGTCTGTTGATCAATGCTTTCCCACAACAACACTGAAGTTGTGTTCTTGTACATCAGGAAGGGCATTATCTCTTTAATTTGGATGAAAACATTTCAGAGAGCCATCATGTGTCTCCTTATCTACTGTCCAAGAATAGCAGTTTTTTGTAGTGTTCCATACAGCAACTTCTTATTTTCTCTTATTACTAACCCAGTCCCAGAAATACTGCTTTAAGCTACACCATTTTAATTAATGCTTTTTTTTTTTAAATTTAATGGGGTACTAGTGTTGTTTTGTTGGGGGTTTTTTTTTGAGATACTTGAGTAAGTTAGTATTAATATTTCTAACATATCAGTGTACATCTTTTAATCTTTATTTTTTTCTTGGTGGGGTCTCTGTTGGTATTCATAATCCCTTCTAATTAACAGTCTTTATATACCAATTCACTTGTGTTCTGTTTAGTTCCCTCAAAACACTCAAAGTGTTAAAAGAACTTTATTCTATTTCTTTCTCCATCATGCTTCTCCCAAAGCTTAATTCATTGAAATGCAGCATTACCATAGACAAACTAAATCCTAGTTTCCTGTAGACAATTACCTCTTTACTAGAGGAGATAAAGAAGACTGAAGCATTTTCTTCTTCCTAATCAGCTTCCAGTATCCTCAGTCTCTCAAAACACTGCATCTGTAATAAGTAAATGGCTCACTTTCATGAATCTCATATGCCTGATTTCATTCCAACTGTATGTATATGGTCACAATGTGATAAGAGTTGCAAATGAATGTTGTTTTATGATGAGCAGGGCATTGACTGTTTACATGATCTTCACTGGTATATTTCCTGCTTATTTACTCATCACATTTTTTCTGGATCAGTCATGACCAAGCAAAAGAAGGGGACAGTGGCCACTGAGTAATTCTTCACAATTTAAAGATTTATATTTCATCCCCTGCTTCACAATGGATTTCCCAAGTTAATAGATTTCAATTATACTTACAGAATTTTAAATAATATAATCAACCAGATCTGTCTCCTGTTTTTTGTTTGAGACAGCAGGTGGCAATATAGTTTCAAGCATCTCTCCAAAAGTTTAACTTTGTCATACAGAAGATAATTGCGTAAGGACTCTAAACCGATTTTTTTTCCTGAAACAACCAGTTTTACAGTCCATTTGGATTTTCTTTTATTTTAATATTTTATAAACATCAGTGTTTTGATAGACAGTGTGAAAAATAGTTCTTTCAAAAGCTGATAGTAGTTGATCAAATGCTGCTATTTGAAGCTGTAAATAAAACTGATTTTTAAATTATGTACCTGCCTGTCTTACTCTGTAGCCTGCTCTTTTATCAAGATGTCCACAGAAATGGTAAAGCTGTTTTTCTGTTTATAGTGAATATTTCCTGAGGTCTCCAGGGTGATATCAGAATTAAGATTCAATAGTTCTTTGAATGTAAATCACAGTGGTTTCAGGATTTGGAGAAACATGGTACTATTCTATTCTTTGTCTAAGACCATCTAGAAAACTTGTTCTATACTTATGGAATGGGAGCTTCCAGAATGGGATAGGGTTGAGTGGTACAGTATGCAGGCTTAATAGATAATCACAAGTCTGTTTCAAAAAGCCACCCTAATATTAAAGAGCAATTCTGACTCTTAAAATCAGGTTGTTTGCTGTAGCATTATGGGGGAAGGGAATACTTTCAAAGTAACAGAATATACCTGTCCCCTATATTCTGTATTTAATTCTGATCTATATTTAATCCTGTTTGTAAATGAATATGCATGAAATGTTATGGAGAATTCATACATTACAGTAGATCACAAGAAGGCTGTCATACAGGTGTACTACTACATAACTCTTCGGTTTTGATAGCTGCAGAAACTGGATCACTGTTTTGTTTAGGTCATACCAGTTCTCCAGTAAACATCTACAGAAACGAGTTAATCACATGCTAATCACTGTGTTTGCTAAAACTGCATGTATTTATTTTTTGTGTCATTAACAAAAAAATTAGAATCGGGGAAGCTGGAACAAAGTCACCTTTTATCTCTTTCTGAATTTGTCTCATCTCTGCTTCCCAATGATATTGTTGGCACACCATTCTACTTGTTTTCAGAACTCTTGCCTCCATGCATGGAAGCATTTGCATAACTTTTAGTCATTGAGGTTAGTCATTGCTACCCTTTCTGACTTACAGGGAGAAATAAAAAAAAATTGCCTAGCTGTATTTGAAAGGATGGAATTAATTTTTAAACCATTTTAAACTGAAATATTATGCTTTATTTGCACAAAATATAAGGGCAACAAAGGCTTGATGATAAAAAAAGTACAGCCTAGTTAGTCTAAATGAAGAAATTAAGTCATTAAAAAAGAAAAATACTGTATATTTGATCCTGTTGTAGGGCAAAGGAATATATTGAATGGCCTGTTGATTTGCCAAAGTCATATCCTCAAGAGACATATGTTTTGCCCTAGGATGCACATTTCATTCTGAGGTAGATGTGTGTATGTGCACCATGAGACAAGAATTGGACTGCATCCCCACACAGAACTTGGGCACATACACTGTTTTGTAAGACTCAAATGGAAGAAAGTAAAACATGTTTAAGTGAGTTTTGTCAGAGGAAGGAATTAACCAGAATGTACCTTTGCTTTTAGTTTGACTGGTAGTCTGTTGAGGTTTGAGCCCAGAGGGCAACTGTGCACCATGCAGCTCATGTTTGCTCACCCCTTCCCCTGCAGCACTGGGAAGGAGAAAAATGAATCAAAAGTCTCAGGAATGGAGATAAGGACAGTGAGGGATGGCTCACCTCTACGGTCACAGGCAAAGGACAGGTTCATTAGGGGAAGAAAAAGGACATCACTTTAATTCAAACACTAACAAACCCAACACTTCCAGAGTGGGACAGTGAGAAGCGTTACCGTATCTTAGAAACACCTCCCGCCACCCCTCCCTTCCTCCCAGGCTCAGTTTGTTTCTGGTATCTGTACCTCCCTCCCCTGCAGCACAGGGGCAGGGGATGGGGGGTGCCGTCAGTCCGCCACCTCCTCCTCCAAGGTGGGGGGAAGCGCTCTTCCGAGTCCTTCCCCCTGCCCCCCAGGGTGTCCCTCTCACAGGAGACAGCCCCGAGTCCTCCCCACAGGATGCATTCTTCTCGAGATGCTCTGGTGTAGGTCACCTCCCCATGTTGCACCTCCCAGCACCGAACTACAACAGCGGGGGCTGCTTCCCACAGAGCCCCGGGGGTCCTCCACAGGCTGCCGGCAAATCTCTGCTCCTCCAGTGACCTCCATGGTGCTGGGGGGTGGCCCTGCCCTCCCACCACGGGATACAGGGGGGGTCTCTGCTCCAGAGCACCTCCTCCTCCTTCCTCTGAGCTTGGTGCTCACACAGGTGTCCTTCCCATCACACCTCCCCAAAGTCCCCCATCCCCTCTCCCATTCCCCTTCTTAAATAAGTTATCACAGAGGTGCAGCTGCTGCCTTGGCCAGAGGTGGGTAAGACTTGGAGCTGGGGGAGCTTCGAGAAGCTTCTTACAGGGGCCACTGCTGTAGCCCCATTCCCTGCTACCAATACGCCACCACACCAACCCAGCAAATTGTAAATTTGTAAATTCAGTACATAAAGCATGTAAGTATATACTCCTCTATACTCCTTTTACTCTGTAACTTTAAGTTACCTTCACTGAGTTGAAGAGGCTGTTGTCCTTTGGTAAGTCTTTTTACATCTGAAGCAGATCTGGTCTGACTTGCATGTAAGATATCAACCTAA